ACTCGTTGGCTGGAGCTATGATTGTTGTAATATCACCCTTATTAAACCATAGTTAACATAAAACCCAAGACAATCATTATATTAATTCAATTGAATTACCCAGATTGTAATATTTACAAAAATAGGATCTGAAGTTTTCATACTTAGAAATCATTTAAAACATCATTTAGCAAACTCAAATTAGAGTCAATATCATTATGGAAGCATAAGATACCTTTTAGAAGTCAAAAGGACTCAAAACCAATTGAGAAATATCAAGAAGTAAAAGATAGAGGAATGTGCCACGGCATGTGCACATGCATTACAGCTTGTTCTTCTCTGTGCTGTGCACCATAATATGCTGCACAAAATTTGATAGCTTTGCAACATGCCCCATGTCTTTGCCCAACGTTCGATTGAGGTGATTTAAGAATCTATGAACTTTTCATAACCTTGCTAGTGGTATAAGTTTCACTTTTAAATTATTTCATACAAAGAAATTAGACATCTAAATATATTTTCTCAACAATTCACACTTTTTACAATACAAGGGTATATAAAACCTTATACATATGCCAAAAGCTATCACTAACTCCTAGACCATACTCAATGGACCTAGGATGACTTATGCAACACATCACATTCACATATATAGTTGTAACAAAACCTTATTTTCACTTCCCAACCCCTTTAATATTAAAAATAGAAACAAGAGATTTAGCATTGCATTTAATCAAATCACTTCATAATTATAAATATTTCAACATTTCTACGCAATTGAGTATTTTTGGCCATATTAACAATAATCAAAGTTATTCACGACATTTCAAGACTCAAAATACATCCCACAATCTTAACTAACACTATAGATCAGGTGTAAACAAAAAACGCATCTCATAAATGATAATATCCTATCCATTATACAAAATAAATGAATTTTAGAGGCTTTATGAAAGGAATAATAAATTTTCAAGCCTTTGGAGCCTTTTCTCTTACTGCACTTGAGTTAAAGCTTATAAAATATTAAAAGAAAAGAGTGAGTACAACCATCTAGTAACTAAGATACATCTATCATATACAGTTGCATATTAATTGACATAAAACAAGTATTAGAAATGATTATAAGTATGTATTTAATCACACACATAACACGCACCATGGATACACGATTTATCTCATCCTTATTTTCCACATTTCATAATACATGACACACTGTCACAATACTAACAACTATGTGACAATGGCCTAATCAACTATCACGGCTTGTCATAAACTTAACAACCATGTGATAAGTCAAATGAGAATGCATGATCAAATCCTCCTTCTTTCCTTTAACTAAAACCACGACTATAATATCAATCTGGGCTCCATCCATATGAATAGACTACCCAAGTTCACTAATTGTGATAAGTGACTCGGCCAAAAATCATTACATTCACTCTTAGACCATAACTTTTCTTATTCTCAAATCCCTGGGGTGTCATAATACCTTAAGCCGGTCTTTTCCACAAATAGGTAGAGATAGTTAAGTTCGAATCCCTCAACAAGCTAAGGGATAATCTATCAACAAACAATGGAATAATGTTATCCTTCATTCACCAAAAGGTAGTTGGATAATACCACATGAGTTTATCTACTCCTCTCTTTAGGCAAACTCCTACCAAATGATCATGCAATATCTCATGCTCATACATACATACATGTTGGTAACACACTATAAGAAACTTATTATTGTCAATCATGTGATCAATTAAAGCATGTGATCTTCACAATCATTTAACTTCGACTCTCAATCTTAGATCACAATCACATATTCTCCACTTTACTCAATCATTACATTCAAATCACAACCACACAAGCATCAAATCAATTTGTCAATTTCTCATTTTAATACAAAATCACAGTACACAAACATGTCAACTTCAACTTTACATTTATAGCCAACGTAAGGTTAAGAAAACCTCACATGATTCTTGGCGTATGTTTACAACCACAATTTCAATCATTCATGTCAATGAATCCATTTTTGAAATATAATTTAATTAACAAACAACTATACAAAATAGATTTCTCCTTGTTACCTCAAACACGTGAGATATTAAAGTTTATTCCTTAGTAATTTGCTTTTAAGCTTACTCTTGAGCCCAAGATGGTGCATGGGGTGATTCATATACAATTAATCTAACCCACAATCATCAACATCATTATTTACACAAGTTAACTTCTTTACTTCGACATCTAAAAATACCTTAAAGCAGTGATTTCTTACATTCATTAATGACTACTGACCACTTCAAGAACCCATATTTATTATTCATTTTTGGACATTAATGACTCATAACCACCATTAATGTCTAAAATCTTCAATCACAAGCTTTAACCACTTAAATAACCCCTATTATCTCTATATAAGTCAATGGATTCTAACATATAACCTTTATGAATCAAAAGTTAATTTCTGCCAACAAATCTTGACAAAAAACTTTAAGAAAATAGATTAAAAAGGAAAGAGAAAGGGTTAGAAGACTTATTCTTGAGGTTTGATAGCTTCAAAATGCTTCCAAACCTTTTGAGAATGAAGCCTTAGTAGAGCTCTCTAAGTGCTCTTTGTTTTCTCCTTCTAACTCTTTTAATTTTCTCTTTGATTTGCATCTTATTTTTGCAAAAAATGAGCCACGTGCCACCGTGTTTGCCACACGCACTGTGGCACATGATGCACACGTAGCGGTATGTGGCGTAAAGACATTTTTTTCTTATTTTTCTCCTCTTTTAATATCCAGTGATCCAATCTCACTTTGGATCAAAATCTATGGTTGAAATCACAATAAAAAACACTTATTAGTCCTCTCTAACCATACATCACACTGATCTTACTTAATTTTCAGAATTTACAATCATGACCGAAGGCTCTAGGGATCTCCAATCTATGCTTTAAGGCTTTTTAGGGAGGCCTTAAGTAGTGTTGCTAGTGTCTAAGGATTCAATTTTAGGCAACGCCCAAAATGATGGTGACTAAAGAAGGTGTGGATTGTTTAATCACTCTTGCACTAATTTGGATAATATTATGTGTGTTTTTATCCTTTTTTTCACTTTAGACTATTGAATGTTTCTGATTGACCACTTGACGGGTATTTTTATCCCTTTGCCCTCTAAAAAATCATCCCTAATTAAATATGATAATGCTCAAATTTAACTCGACAATATTATATAGTTATGAGTATATAACTATATTTTCATTTGTAACTTAAAAAAAAGATTCAATTTTGTAATGTGACTTTGAGAAAAAAATTTCATATAATTTAAGAATTATATAGTTATAATTTTAAAAATTATTTTTTAATAAGTAAAATTATAAAATTAAAAAAGTTTTTATCATATTTTTTTAAAATTGTCTCTCATAAAATCAAAATTTATTTTTACTAGACAACTTTGATCCTTCATATACTAAAAATTAATTACAAATATTTTAATATGGCATAAGACTTATGTACTTAATTTTATATACTTAATATATTTATATCCAATTAAATTATAAGAAGTGAATCTTAATATGTTAATAAAATTAGTAACAAAAATTTATTATAGAATAAATAATTTATAAAATATTTACATGTATTAATTCAATTGGGTACAAACACATTGAGTATATCAAACTAAATATAATTTTTTAAAAATTATATAAGTTGATTAAAATTTACTTACATTTAAATATCGAATTGGAGTACCACGAATAAAAAGTTAGCTTAAGGTGGGCACCAATCTCATTAATGAAGGCTCAACTTATACCTGCAAAACCTGCTCATGGCATGGTTGAAAAATGTTCAAAGAACACAACTCAGTTACTCAAGCAAGAAAGCTTTTATCATCGAGCCCAATCCTAAATGAACACCCAGGAAACCTAGCCAGCTAGTTTCTCAAATTATGTCCAAAAATGGCAATGTTTGGCCAAATACAGAATAGATTAAAGTAGGTAAAAATCTAAGTATAAAGCGTAATGGAATGTCTTAATTAGTCCCGAGAAAACAAGTTAAGTTGGGTTTGGCAGAAAGGCATGGAAAAGAATTAGCATCGAACATTAAAGGCGTAAATTAGGATTAAACAAATAGTAAGCAAGCTTACTGATAATTGTACGGATGCAAGTAACCAAAAAAAAAAAAAACTGGCTCTTGCTCTGTTTCAACAGTTCAATTTTGACTCTGTTCCCTTAGGCCATGTTTGGTAGTATTGACTTGGCAAGATGAAAATGAAATCAAAGATGAAATCTTAATTAAGCATGATTGGTACGTAAGAGTTGTAATTTTTAAGAATCCTAATTTCACCAAAAATGCTAGAATCCAATTATATCATTTTGACCATGGAATTGCTTCAATTCCCTTGAATTCAATTTGTGAACCCCACTATCCTCATCTTTTTTATCTATTTATAACAAGATAAGTCTTTTTAATTTTTTTAAAAAAGGTAATTTAATCTTTTTTATTTTAAGTACATATATAAATTAATATTATATTAGAATTTCATTTTCATACCAAACACACTTTTAAAATTTAATTCTATTTCAATTCTGATTTTATTCTAATTTTAATTTTAATTCAATTAAAAACTCTATCATCATATTAAATAAGATCTTAAGTTTCCTCAGGACTTCCCCAAAAATAGGGGCTCTTGTTCAGTTTTCTTTCACATTTCCTTCACAGTACGGTCAACCAAACTCTTATGTACGATAATGCCCTTGCACTATTTTTTTTTCCCCTCCTGTCCCCAGCTTCAACCATGTCTTGCGACACGTGTTACTGTTCATGAGGCGCCTCCCTCTCTCTCGCGCACGCTCTCTCTTTCCAAAGTGATAGAAATAAGAAATTAAAAATTAAAAATAGACCCAAACAAGAAATGAATGAGCTGGATGGAGATTCCGTTGTGGGAATCGAGCTGTAATTGAAAGCCTCTCACCTCCTTCCCCTTCTCTTCCTACTTGTTCATCCCATGCCATTCACTCCTATATATACCCCGTTGTTTCAACTTGTTTTTCCTCACACAGACACTCTTCTCCTTCTTCCTCATCATCTTCTTCCACCTAAGCCCAGTACAAGAATTGACAGACATGGAATTCATCACCATGTTTTGCTGGTTTTCTTGCTTTCTCACAATCTTTCTCTTCAATTCACTCATCAAGTACTCCAAATCCAAAACAAGGGAATTGCCACTCCCACCTGGAACCATGGGCTGGCCTTACATAGGAGAAACCTTTCAACTTTATTCTCAAGACCCAAATGTGTTCTTTGCCAACAAAATCAAGAGGTACTCACAAATTCCATCCTGTTTTTCCCCCAACCTTTCTCTTGCATAGTCTTCAGGAATGGTCCCTCACGTACAAGAGTTTGTTGTTTCTTATAGGTTTGGTTCAATCTTCAAGTCCCACATTTTGGGTTGTCCGTGCGTGATGATTTCGAGCCCTGAAGCTGCAAAATTTGTGCTCAACAAAGCTCAGTTGTTTAAGCCGACATTTCCTGCAAGTAAAGAGAGGATGTTGGGAAAACAAGCTATTTTCTTTCACCAAGGAGTGTACCATGCCAATTTGAGGAGGCTTGTCGTTCGTACCTTCATGCCTGAGGCTATCAGAAATATGCTTCCAAACATTGAATCCATTGCCCAAGATTGCCTCAAATCTTGGCAAGGCCAATTGATCACCACTTTCCGAGAAATGAAAACGGTAAGAACACGGAACAGGGCAAAACAGAGCCAAATTCTGTGTTTTGCTTCCCAAGTTGTTTTCTTTCCTCTCTCACGCACTCTCTCTCTCTTACTTTTTTTTTTTCCTCCCCATTTTCACCAGAATAATATTAAAAATCATCCGTAGGAATCACCAAGTTGTTGATTACTCATCGATTCCAACAATATTCTATAAAACAATAAAATAATGGGTTTTTATTACATGTTTCAATTCACCTCTGTTTCCTCGTCTCCCTCTTTTTAATTACCAGAAAAACACATAATCGTAATTAGTGATAAATAATTTATTTCCGCTCTATGTTGGTCGGAAAAATAATGGGTTTTCATGTCCTCTTGCAGTTCACCTTCAATGTCGCTCTGCTCTCGATTTTCGGAAAAGATGAGATTTTGTACAGAGAGGATCTGAAACGCTGCTACTACATTCTGGAGAGAGGGTACAACTCAATGCCTATTAACCTTCCAGGAACACTGTTTCACAAAGCCATGAAAGCAAGGAAGGAACTGTCCCAGATCTTGGCTCAAATCCTCGCCAAGAGAAGGCAAACGAAGCAAGAACACAACGACTTGTTGGGTTCGTTCATGTGTGAGAAAGCAGGGCTCACCGATGAGCAGATAGCAGATAACATAATCGGCGTCATCTTCGCTGCTCGTGACACTACAGCCAGTGTCCTTACTTGGATCGTTAAGTACCTTGGAGAAAACCCAGGTGTCCTACAAGCAGTCACAGTAAGTAACTGGGTCCTACGCTTTCAAGACCCCGCGACAAAAAAATTCAACTTTGAAAACGTGGGTTTGGTTGGTCCCCTGATCCTGAAACTTCTTTCTCTGATTCTGGTTTTGCAGGAAGAGCAAGAGTCTATTTTGGAGAACAAGGAGGAAAATGGTGAAGAGAAAGGTCTGACTTGGGAAGATACCAAAAAGATGCCTATAACTTCAAGAGTTATTCAAGAGACTCTAAGGGTTGCTTCAATTCTATCTTTCACTTTCAGAGAAGCAGTGCAAGATGTTGAATATGAAGGTCAGTAAACAGATAAATCTCATGGCACTTGGTTTTATTTTTCTGGGTCAACCCAAAAATTGCTGCTTTTTTTTCCCCCGAGTTTTGCTCATAGATTTTGATTTTTTACAGGGTATCTCATACCAAAGGGGTGGAAAGTTCTGCCACTTTTCAGAAATATTCACCACAGTCCAGACAACTTCAAAGAGCCAGAGAAGTTTGATCCCTCAAGATTTGAGGTAATTTATATTCTGAAGAACTCAACTCATATCATGCAGTGCTTTTGCTTTCTTCCAACTTCAATCCTTGCCAGATTTGGACACATTCTCATTCTGCAAATGATTTGCCAGGTTGCTCCAAAGCCCAATACTTTCATGCCATTTGGCAATGGGACCCATGCATGTCCAGGAAATGAACTTGCCAAGTTGGAGATGTTGGTGCTTGTGCATCATCTAACCACAAAGTACAGGTTTGTAAACTTCTCAATCTCATTATCACCAATGTTGACAGTTTCCTTTTCTAAACACTACTGTTCACCCATGAACAGTCCAAATTCAGAATGTTTTTCTAATCTGTTAATTAATGCCTTTGGTTTGATTTGATGCAGATGGTCTATGGGTGGTGCTCAAAATGGAATCCAATATGGCCCTTTTGCTCTTCCACAGAATGGCTTACCCATCAGATTATATCCCAAGAAGTAAAATAACAATAATAATAAATAATAATAATAATAATAAACTCCATATTGAATCCTTAGAAGAAAACAACATGCTTATCAGATTTCAGATATGACTTTAAAAGAAAAGAAAAGGCTTCAAAGTTGAGAAATGGAATTCAACTTTCTTGAGAGGAAACCGAAAGAGCAAGAATTACACAAGTTGGAAAGGGAAGGAAAATCCTTTCCCTTTCTTTTTGGCCCAAAGGGAAAAGTCGGTTATTAGCAAACAAACAAGAGAGAAGTCAACTGTACAAAGGTGGTTTTATTTCTAGCCAGAGCTGATAGAATTATTGATCTCATCATTCACTCTTTTTTAGGCTCATTTGTGTTTAATTTTTCATATATGTATAAATGGAGGAAAAGTCCTCTATAGATTGTGCTGTTGTATTCATCCAAGCTTGTATCCATAATTTTGCCGCAAGGCAAAAGAAAATATATCTCATTTTCTTAAGTTTATTCACACACTATGTTTTCTTCTCAATCTTTTCTTTTCATTTTATTTTTATATATTTGTGGGAAAATGAAATACATGAAGGCAAAAAAAAAATCATATACGGCACTGGTTGTTGCTAAATAAATAAGTGTAAAGATTCAAGGTGTTTCCTATCTTCCAAACATGTGTACTGAAAAGTAGACTGTTGCATTGCACGTATTGCCATTCTATCAAACTCAAGCTTCCCAACATCTAAACACATGTCGTTTCTACCATTTCCACATTGTCCGTCTGTTTCACGCATGTACGATGGTTGCTCATCTGTCGTTTTCTTCCTTTTCATTTAAAAATAAAGGTTTCATAAATCTATTATTCTCAAGTGTTCTCGCCTTCGTTTATTAGTTTGCAAAATAAACAATTATTTACATAAGATTAAAATGAAAATGGTATTTTTTTATTCTTGTTATTTCTCTCACACACCTATAATAAAAATTATTTCAACTGAAGTTTAAATTTTCGGGTAAAGAAAGATGAATAATTCTCCTGTGTGATTTGTTGGTTTAGAAATATAATAAAAGAGTAAAATTCATTTTCTGAGTAAATGGAAGAAAAAGAGAGATAATTCAAAGAAAAAACTTACCAACCATAATACCACTTCCATTATGAAATTTTTGACAAGTTAAATGTCCTCTTTTCTTATTTAAAAACATGAATCTATTAACTTGCAAATTTATATGAAAACATGATCTGACTCGTACGTTTTTGAGAATAAATCATGCAAATTTGAGAACAAGAGTAGCAAACTACATGATGATGATATGTTTGACAAGTTATATATTTTCACATTTTCTTCATAAATTAACAAATATCACTTGTAGATATGTATATGTTTTGAAGTTGTAAATCAGGGCATGCATGAGATGGTAGCAAATTAAACTACTAAAAATAGCATTATATTTCACTAGCTATGTCAATTACGAATTAGTGAATTTCACTTATAAATTTTTGTTTTCTTGATTGTAAATCATAGAATGAGAATAACAAATTTTTAACTCAATTAATTAAAGAATCTGTGGTCTTCGTTTCTAATTTTCAAACTTTTTCTCTTTATTTAAGTTTAATTTAACCTTTTATCTCTTAATGTCATTCCCCTAATTTTCTTTTTTAGCAAAAGTCATTCCCCTAATTTAAAGTCATAAATACACTTGGCAAAAAAAAAAAAGTCATAAATACACGATGAAATATTTCGTTGTCAATTTAGTCCTAATTGAATATCTCTTTTCATGGTTAAGGATGTCAGTTGGTATTTCAAAGCTTTTTTTTTTTTTTTTTTACCTTGATCTTTTCAGAGTTATATGAAGATTGAAATCTAAACTAGTTGATATATTTTGAATATCTCAGAGGCCTGATAATTTAATGACTTAGCCCCCACAAACTACCATTTTTTCTTTCATGAATAAATATTGATGTTGATTAATTTAATGAGTAGAATTCTTGTGGGTAACCCCATTTGACTTTTTTTCCTCCCTTTTGTTTTTATTTGACCTAATTGAAGTTTTTGAATTGTTTTATCAAATAAAAAATGCATTAAAATTTGAATTCAATTCTTTATAAGATCCAATAGAAGTCAAAAGTTTAGGTGATCAACTTAATTTATAAATTTATAAATAAATTAATAAACTAATAAATTTCAAAGAATGCACGCCGACACCGTAGTTCATAAGATGCCTTTTTTTTATAATTTTAATTATATAAATTCAGAGTTTAAGACTGAAGAAAATTTCATTTGCTTAATATTAAATATGAAAGAATTTTGACATGAGTACCCTATATGCTTCTTCTAACAAAGGTAGTGGAACATGGAAGAACCCGATCACCATGATATGATATACTCTTATCAACAACTTTGGAGATATAATATTTTTCTTACAAGTAAGAAAAAATAAATAAAAAACAAGTATTTGTCTTACAAGCATATTATACATTGAGAAGCTTTAAAACTTTTAATTAATAATTTAATTATGGTGGATTTAATTAGTCTAGAACTATCAAATTCACATTCTATATTCCAATAGCAATATTCAAATATATAAACGTCATTTATACTTATTTCTTACATAATAAGAGAAAGTGATAAAACGTATCTGCATTCATTATATTATTGCTATGAAAGAAGGTTATTGTAATATTTGTGGATTAATCTTCTACAGATTACTACTGATTAGAACTTTCTAGATCAACATAAATTCTAATCTAGAGACTAAGATCTCTTTTGTAAATTGTGTAATATTTATCATTTATCTCATCGTCAGACATTAATTTGGTCTTTAACATTACTTCTCTTAATAAATATTACGGCCCCTTTTACTCATATATAAAACTTTATTGCTAAATATATAGCACCACTTTTTATTGAGACTTAAGGATAAGTTGATTTAATTCTCTCTCAGTTGAATTAATTGCCCTTGCATAAAAAAAAATAGCACCACTTTTTTTAGGCTTACCTAAAGAATGCAAACAAATTTTGATATTTACGCATATATGATCAACATATTGAATTTTGTTCCAATCATGCGCAAGTACAAATACAGATACAATTAATAACTGACAGTATGAACAAGGTTGCTAAAATTTGTATATGAAAGTGGAAACAAAGTTGAACAAACAATTATAACAATGAATCATATGCCTATATTCCAGTTTTGCTCATCTTTAGACATTATACTCACACACAAAAGACAAAACACACTTTAGTTGTGTTTTTGGTTCACTGATCGACTTAACATGAACTACCATTCTTGAAAATACGTTCATCCAACAACTAAACTTCGTTCACTGTCATAACCCAACTTCTTCCATCACTTTACATAATCACATGCATGTGTGTGTTTATACATACATGCATACATATATTATCCATGCTGTCCAGCTCAGAACAGACATTGAATGTCCTGGTTTTGTGACAGCACTGTCTTATGTGTATCTTAAACGAAAATGTTGAAATGAAACGTGTCGCTTCCAGGAGGCTGCTTGGTTTTGTGACTGTTGAGATATACATTGATGATCTGAAACAGCCTCTCTGGTGGACTTTTTTTTTTTTTTTTTTTTTTCATTTGGACTGATCAAGAGAACCCTTTAAGGACTTTAGCCATTGAGAGGGAAATCAAATCTCACATCACATGAAAATGTCTTCTTCTTTCATTGCAGAGAGAGAGAGAGAGAAGGAGAAAGACGTGGCCATCTTCCTTGAAGCTTCATGAACTTGGTCCAATGTCAATCACACGTTACTGTCCTTTACGAGACACGTCACCTTTGCACGACTTGATGATGAGAAGAAACGTACAGTCCCACTCTCTTGAGGCTTTATTAGCTTGGCCATAAATTTTCTAAGATCACCACAGAAGCACAAGTGTCTCGTATGTGTTTAATTCAATGTGGCTTAGGAACTCATTGAAAGATGTTGATGTGAATCTCACCCTCAAAGGTGACTCCATTTCAAATCCATGACAGCTATATTCAGAATGATTCTGATCTACGTTCATGAATGAATAATTAGATAAACTGTATATGTTCAGGTTTGACTCTGCATGTTTTAATAATAAAAATATCTTTGGCGCTTCGAGTTTCGGAAAGATCTAAGGAAGTGTTGCTTTTGATTTTAGAGGGATGATCAAAAGTCAAGGGTGTGGTGATTATAAAGTATGATGGGAATTTATAATAGTCAAATATTCCATTAATTATTGACGAAAGAAGTAGTGAAAGTGATTTTTCAATGGTTGAATATTCAAATAATTTGAAAGTCAAAGAAGAAGGGGCAGTTGATTGAAAATGATCCGGTGTGGACACGTACAAAACGCTGGCGAGAATTACGTGTGTCAAAGGAGGCACCGTGATGGTGTTCATATGACTAGGATATACATACACTAATATTACCCAAAAAGCTGAGGGAGCAAGTGAAATGGCATTTGTTGACATTGATTAAATTCATTCTCCTATAATGATGTATTTTAATATTTATACATTCAGAAAGAATGATATTATATATACATATAACTACAATATAATAAATATCCTTTTTTTTATTAGGTAGAATATTAAATTGACTTCTAAACTGCAGGTCTAGGAGTGTATTTAAGGCTCTAAAATTATTTTTGTGTAATATTTATTTTTAATTTTAAAAGTAATACAATTTGATCTTTATTGTTAACAAAAGTTAACTTTAATTTTTAATTGCTCAGAAAATGTTAGAAAAGAATTAAGAAAAATGATTAGTAAAAATTTCTTGATCCTTTTTTATATTTTTTTAATTTTTGTCTGTAATTTTTGGGCCTTTTATTGTAATGATATCTTATGATTATCTAATGGTCAAAATTAATTTTTATTAATAGGGATTAGATTATATTATTTTTAAAAGTTGAAAGGGAATGTAGCACAAAAAAATAAGTTTAAAGTCCTAAATACACCTAAACTTATAATTTAGGATCAATTTGCTCATTTAATTTTTTTGATAGTCTTTTGTCTAAATATATTATATACAATTACCAAAAATTTAAATTCAATGTTGACTTGGTAAGTATATAGTTATAATATTTAAAATCAGGTCAACTCATCGATTGAATTAATAAACTACTGAATAGGCGGTTTGAACATTTCGATAAATTATTTTGACCACCGTCTCGATTAGTATTTTGATTATTAACTCTTAAACAATTCAATAATTGGTTTACTTCTCAATACTTTGTATATAGTTAGTTATATATTATGGATACCAAAAATTATTATGATTATGGACGTATGATTTTTTTTTAACATAACCAACGATATTCAGGTTAAGTGGAAGATATTCTATTTCTTTCAAGTAAGATTAAAGATTTCACACCTTGTGAACCCAAAAAAAAAAAAATCATATTAGATAAATTAACCTAATAATATTTGAATATGACTCCTTGGCACTGAATATCGTATGTTTGCATAAAGAAATTATTTATATACCAATAATTAAGTATATAAAGAACTAATATTATATC